GGCCCCTACACACCTACATCTATCATGAAGATAGAGAGATTAAGATCAGAGATTCACTGAGATACAAGAGAAACATCTTGTCTGAATTTCACAGCTTTATTTATATTCTTGAATGGAAATTCCGCCTTAATCTGAGCCAGTATAATACTCATAAGATATGAGTAATATACACTGCCAACCTTCTTGAAGGCATCTCTGTAACTACTTGAGCTATTAAGAAGAGAGAGCTTGAGTGTATCAATGCTGTCATGACTTGGGAAGAATTCAAGAACTTTCTATTGAATCAAATTGAAGATCACTGCAATCACAGCTTCACAGTGATATAGTGATTCAACTCATTACATTAACAAGATGATGAAAATTCTTCTGATTTCAACACAAGATTTGAAGAATATTGAGAGGAATTAACTGATGATTTGAATCAATTAAAAACACAGCTTTATCTTGTGAAGCTGACTCACAAAGTGTGAATAATAATATCACAGTATCAGAGTTCATTAATCAATTGTACTGAGCTTGTCAATCTGACTTTCTGAATCTATTTGAATAATCAATTCTCTGAGAAAAAGATTAACAAGACCTCTTCTAAGTAATTAATGATAGAATCTAAATAGTGTTATGATGACTTCAGTGCAGAGAAAGTAAAGAAGAATTTCAAGTGTTCTGATTCTTCACTCACTGCAAAGAAATGTTAAAAAAGATTTGACAAAGATCTCTGTTTCAACTGTGAAGCTGGTAATCACTATATCAGTGATTGCAAGAAGCTGAAGAAGAGAAGAAACTGAGAAGACATCTTCTCAAAGTTAACTTCTCTTCTGACAAATGTATCTGTGAAAGATAAAGAAGAGAAAGAAAAGAATTGACAATTCTCACATCTCTGAGTTCATGTTATGATCACAATGCATACTTCAAATGAGAAGGTATCAGTGAGGTGTCTACTCAACTCTGAGATAGATATCAACTTCATGTTCTATTTCTTTTCTTTGATAAAGAATTGAAAGAAGATAGATCTGTCAGATCATGTGAAATTTACAGATGAAATGAAATATCACTGTTTTGACATAATTCAAGCAAAGTATGTGATCACAGACTCAGAAGAAATCTTCAAGAAGAGCAGTCTGCTCCTTCATATAGTCAACATCATAGATGAGAACATCATTCTAGGTCTTCTGTGATTGAGAGAAAACAATTCTCTTATTGACTGAGTTACTCAGGTGTGGCAGTACTGCCTCACTGATGAAGAGACAGTGATAGAGAAATCTGAAGAGTTTCATCAGAAGAATCTTGAGAAAAAGATTGAGTCAATATACTGCATAGCAGGTGATTGAGACTTGAAAACAGATAAAGAAGTCATCACCCTTACTGCAAGATTAGCAGCAGTATCTGTCATTGAAGATGAATGTATACAATGTCTCTTTACAGATTTTAAGAATGTCTTTTTGAAAAGAAAAGCAGTGAAGTTTCCTGATATCAAGATGTAATATAAGATTCATCTTGAGAATGATGTAACAGCACTGTACAGGCCTCTTTATAACTTATCTATAAAGAAGTTGAATGTTCTGTATAAATATCTTGAAGAAGTGCAATCAAAGAACTGAATACATTTATCAAAGAGTCTGACAGAGGTGTCTATACTCTTTGTACCCAAGAAGAATGATAGGCTACATCTATGTATAGACTACAGAGGCCTCAATAAGATGACAGTTAAGAATCACTATTCATTACTATTAATTAATGAGATGATTGATTGATTATCTGAAGCAAAGATGTTCTTGAAGATTGATATACAGAATGCCTATCATAGAATCAGAGTTAATGAAGATGATGTTTGAAAAACAGCTTTTCATACTAAGTACAGCAATTTTGAATATCTTGTTTTACCTTTTAATCTTTGTAATACTCCAGTCATCTTTCAGATCTATATAAATGAGATGCTACAGGGCCTTGTCAATGTCTCCTGCATAGTATACCTGAACAACATTTTAATCTTCTTAAAATCAGAGAAAGAACATGATACTCATATTTAAGAAGTGTTGAGTCACTTGAGACAGTATCAACTCTATATAAACACTGAAAAATGCTCATTCTACATGCAGAAGATTGATTTCTTAGATTATATTGTTAAGATGAATGACATTTCAATGAACAGGAGCTGAGTCTTCATCATTGAGAACTGGCCAATGCTGCAGATGTACCGCGAGGTACAGGTGTTTCTAGAATTTGTGAATTTCTACAGATGATTCATCTATGCATATTCATGAATTACTGCCCCTCTTACAGATCTGTTGAAGAGAAGTGTGAAAGACAGGAAAACAGAACTATTTATCCTCACTCAAGACACTGCGCAGGTGTTTGCAGAATTGAAACAAGCTTTCACAGATATTATGATACTGAATCATTTTAATCTCAACTTACTCAGTCAGTGTGAGACTGATGTATCTGAGAATGAGATCTGTGAAATCTTTTCACAGTTGACATTGAAGACCTTTCAACATTGAAAGAATCAAAGAATAATCACTTCTGAAAAAACAGACAATGAATTGTCTGTGAGAGAAGACTTTTTCATGAAGTCTACAAGACACTGTGAATGAAGATCAGTGATCTTCTTCTTCAAGAAGTTATTACTCATGCAGAGAAGATATGATACTCATGATCAGAAGATATTAGTAATTATCAAATTCTTTAAGATCTGATGACATTATCTTCAGAATAGTAAGTACTCAGTGCAAGTCCTCACTGATTATGTAAATCTGTATTACTTCTTGACAACAAAGAGCTTGACAGAATGTCAAGCCAGGTGAGCAGAGCTACTTTCAGAGTATGATTTCTATATCTGATATTATTCAGGTCAGCTTAACCCTGTCAACACACTGTCTAGACAGTCTGATTATAATATCATTGATGCAGAGAAGAATTCTACAAAAGAACCTCTGTCATCACTGCAGAAGAAGCTGGCTGCAGAGGGTTGAGATTCTCTAAAGCTCAGAAACAGCACTGGAGAGACAGCTGTGTAACTCAGTATAGAAGGTGAAAGAGAACTCAGGTCTCTGCAGGGAACTGACACTGAAGATCATGAGCTTCTCATATCATATCTTACAATCATTGAATTGACAAAGAATGAAACAGTCTACAATCTTTCAATCTGACTACTTTTGAAATTTATTGATGAGTTACAGAAGAGAGACATCTCTACTGCAGCTCAAATTCAAAAGTTGAAGAAGAAAGAATCTGATTTGAACTTGAAAGAGACAGACTCTGAGTGAGACAGTGCTGCTAAGAAACCAAGTCACTGATAACTAGAAGAATGTGAACTTCTACTGCTGAATAATTCAGTCTTTGTCTCTTATAGCAGAGCAGTGTGTCAGAAGTTATTGAGAATTCATTATAATGATTCTCATATGAGGCACTTCAGGTTAGAGAAGACTGAGAAGCTTCTAAAATATAAATATATTTGAGACAAGCTCTGAGCAGATGTCAAAGAGTATGTTGAAACTTGTAATATCTGTCAAAGAATAAAGATCTCACAGTATAAGTAATACAGTGAGTTGACATCACTGCCTGTTTCAAAGAGCTTATAACAGAATCTATTGATGAATTTCATAGTTGACCTGCTGAAGTTGACAAGAGTCAAAGAATGTGACTTAATTTTGATCATTATTGATCACTTCACAAAGATGATCAGATATATTTCTACTTATAAAAAGATTAAAGTCTCTGAATTGACTGACCTGTTTTTAGATATCATCATTTGTAATCACAGTGCTCTGAAATCATTGATAACAGATTGAGAATTCCTCTTCATCAGCAAATACTGATCAGCTTTTTACTATCATCTTATAATAAGATGTCTTCTCAGTACTGCATTTCATCTGCAGACTGATGATCAGACTGAACATTAGAATCAGACACTAGAACAGCATCTTCAAGTATTCTGTTTATATTATCAGAATGATTGATTTAAATATCTTCTGATCACTGAATTCACATATAACAATACAAAGAATACAATCTTAAAGATATCTTCTTTCTATACTTGTTATGAATATAATCCTTCATTACTCAGTGACATCGCAGATAATATTTCAAAGAGAGGAATAGACAGTCAGAATGTCAGATAGATACAGAGAATGAAGTATTTCTCAGTGTCAGAAGTAAAAGTGAGATTGAAACTTTTGAATAAAATTCATGAGAAGATGATGAAAAGCATCTGTCACACTCAGAAGTAGCAGATAAAATACTATAATTAAAAACATCTTTCAATGAAGTTCTTGATAGAGAATCAAGTACTACTTTCAGTAAAGAATATCAAGACAATGAGACTGTGTAAGAAGCTTAGTGAGTGATGACTAGAATCTTTTCTGATAACAAGAGTGATGAGTAAGCAGATATATGAGTTAAAATTACTTACAGAATTAAAATCAATTCATTCTGTTTTTCACATTTTCTATTTGAAGCTCTATAAGCAATACTTCAGAGTGAAGCTGCCTTGACTGAATAATATTAAGATTGAGAGTGATACTGAATATCTTATGAAGAAAATATTGAATAAGTGAACACATTACAGCAAGCTTCAATATCTTATTAAATAAGAAGATTATTCATTGTCAGAGAATTCATGAAAATCACTTGAGTATTTGAAAAATGCTGAGAAAGAGATTGTAATCTATAAGATGACTAGTAGAGACTGTCTCATTACACATCAGAGACATTGAACAAGAAATACTACTTGAGACTTCTTGTTTTTCTCAAAGAGTTTTTTAGAGATGATCTCACAGTAATAAGCTGATGCCTTGTAGACTCTGTAACACTCTTCTTCTATTTTCTCTCAAAGAATTTTTAGAAGTTTAATAAGACTACATAAGTGTAAAATTCCTGAAGCAGTTAGAGAGAAGGAATATTTGAAATCAATAAAAAAGATTAATATTAATCAACTCATGAGCTGCTGCTATTCTAGTGAGGCTGCAGCCTGTTAAAAAAGTAAAAAGAGGAAATCTCAGAGCCTACTCATCAACAATCACACTCTCATCAAACTCATTCTTCACTGTTAAAGTCTCTGACACTGATATCTTTATCTGTCAAGAAGTTAGTGCTGCAGCACTGTAGAAGAGCATGCTACAGAAGAGTATGAAAGATACTGAAAGTATTAACTTATCAACTTACAAAGTATCTCAGTTATCTGTTTCAACTGAAGTGAGATTCTCTTCAATCAGTGATTAATCTCTGTGATACTTTCAATGATAATACTGACTAATCTCTTCTTGAGATCAGCTATTCTGAGATGTTTTTTCATCTCAGAGACTCACACTTTCATCTTCTTTTGCAGACAAGTAAGAGAGATCTTCTCAGTCTTGACAGAATTTATCAACACTTGAAGCTCTGAGACTCTCACTCTGTACTGCTTAAGTATCTAGACTTCTCATCAGAACTGACACAACATCTTTCTGTGAAGTAATACTTATAGAGAGATAGAAGTCATTGTTGCAGATGCAATGAAAATAATAGAAGTGAGAGAAGAGATAGATATATAAAATCCCTCTCTTCTTCAGCTGCTTGATGCAGTGCAGACAAGTAGTAATGCTGATCAGAGACTGTATCAGAGCCTTCTCACAGAGAGAAGATAAAGAAATCATGAGATTCTGCAGACTCAACTCAGCAGCATTTCAAGCAGGGCTTGAGTGTGTCATAGAAGGGGAACTACAGATTGAGCTTCTTGAAGCCACTGTCCCCAGAACCAAGCTCTCCCCAGGTTCCTCTTCAAATGATCACATGGGGTCATACATCACTGTATTGGCTGGGGGGGGGGGTGGCGTCACAACAGCGGCGGGGGGGGCAGAGGACAGACCAGACACAGACACACCAGCTGGCAGAAGGGACAACACCTCACTGCAGAGTACAGCAACTTCCACTGCAGCTGCAAGAGAAGCAGGAGAAGATGTGATGATGAAAGTGATACTCCCGCAGCTCATTAACACCACCACCTTCAACCTGGCTTTCTTGACAGCCATGGAGGCCGCCGCTGCACCACAAAGACATTTGTTACTCACTAGAAAATGTCAGAATAAGCTCTCTACTGTCCTTCAAGAATAATACTCCCATGCACTCACTATTGCAGATGGAGGGAAGGGGAGAAAAATGTGTCATGAGAGAGAAGAATCTTTCAAAAAAATCCTGTCACTACTGTTAGCTTTGCCTCTAAAACACATCACTTTTGCAGGGAATTTCATACATAGAACAGGATATATTGAGAGATCTGCAAGTCACTTATTAACTACATTTTTTCACATTTCAAATTGATATATAAGGAACCCACTTATCACACATTTGATTTGAATGAAGGTGAGAAAAGAAAGACCTACACAGTCAGCAGAAAAACTCATCTTTATGTCACATGCAGCACACACACTGTCAATCAGTTGACAACCATTGCTATACAATAAAGATAATTCCTAATCCAGTAATCTTGAGAACATAGAGACTATGTTCTTAAGAGAAAGAGCATTGTCACACTCTCAGCTGTGTCAAGACTCTGTTGCAGTTTCACACAGCTCATTGCTTCCATGTGAATAATTTCATCTCATCTGAACCAGTTTTCAACCACTCTATGACATCATTCAGATATATCATAGAAAGATCTGATTGATGAATATGAGAACTCTGCTTCTATATAAGGTCAGCAGATTACTTTTCCTTGATAGTGAGGTATCACTGAGATATCACTTCAGCTATTCTCACTTGAGAAATAAGAGAAGGTATTCCCTCATTGTCTATATAGAATAGCTAGATGCTGACTTCTTATGAAAGAAGTCAGTGATTCATTTTACTTCTACTGAAATATACATAAGAGTTACTGCATGCCTCATACAATCTTCTTAGTATACTAAGTATCATATCTGTGATATCCTCACAACAACTCTGTAGCCTACAAGCTTGCTATTCAAGCAAGATAGTCAAGCTCACTCACACAGCTTCCCAAACAACTTCCCCTACGTGTCGCCGCCGACTAGCCACCGCTTCGGTTCCGCCACGTTACACTGCTATTGATTATGCTACTGACTGGCCAGTCATGAAAGCAGTTTCAGAGATGATAGAGAAGATGATAACAAAGTTTCAACATGATAAGATCTATATCAACTATGAAATATCATATGAGATTCTAACTGATAATAGTGTGAATCTCATAGAAGAAGTGATGAGGCATTTTATAGATCAGTTACAGACAAGACATCATAGAACAACATTATATCATTCACAGATAAACAGAAAGATAAAATACTTGAATAGAATCTTAAGTAACATGCTGATGAAATATCTAGTGAGCAAGTCTATGAGATTATGAGATGAATATCTCAATCAGGCACTATTAACCATGCGAATTCAGCAGCATGCAGTCTTTAAGCATTTATCATTCTACCTGTTATATAGATTGCATCTGTACATTCTGAAGAATGCTTCAGAAAAGATGAGGAAGAAAACAGCAGTTGCAGACACAGCAGTTACAGACACAGAACTAAGATTGAAAGAGATCAGTCACACATGTATAAAAGCTAATAAGTTACTCCTGAACTGAGCAATTCAATTGAAAAGAATATGAGACTCACTAGTTAAGAAATCAAGTCTCAAGATGAGAACATGAGTTCTCATATACAATGAGAGTTCTGAGAAGTTTCAATCTAGATAATTTAAACTCTATAAAATACTCAAATCATATTCTCTGAAAACTTATGCATTGAAGAAATCAGAGAGATGAGTCTTATATAACTTAATCAATAATTCATAACTTATGAAAGCAAAGATGCAAGATCTGAGTGAATTATAATTATTCACAGCACTATTATCAGTGTTGAAAAAGAAGAGACTTATAATTGAAAAGTCTCACAAAGTAAGAGAAATTATAGACACTTATAAATCAGATGATCTCAATTATTTCAATCTTTTCACAATTATAAGAAAAGAATGAAAAGCAATGAAGAAATCAGATAAATATTATACTTCAATAAGTGATAAGACTGTAGTCAGTTATACAATAATGCATCACAGACAGCAGATACAATATGACAAAGAGCAGTCTCAAAGTAGCAGACTTGTATATGAGTCAGATTACAGAAGAAAAAAGAATTCAGAGTTGAATTTAACTGTTTATATCAGTTCAATTGTGAAGATTACAGAGAATGAACTATCTGAAATATCTGCAGATGTGTAAGATCAAGTCATCTCAATCTCTGAAGATACTCAGAGATCAGATAAGATTAGTTTCAATGAGCTGTTCACTGTAGTAGTCTGAGCAGGTGAAGAGAGACAGTATAATGCATGAGACAGAATCATAAAAGATGAAAGCTGCTGAACCTAGTCACTGAACACTGTATTATATAGAGATTGTATAAGAGTAGTGACTAGCAGATAAAGAAAAAGTGTAAGAAAAGAAAAGAGATAATGAATTAATTATCAACTGTAAGAGTCAGCTGTAAAAGATAAATGTTATCATATATATCTTATTTATTTTTATATATCATATATTTAAGCTATTTTCAACATCACATCATCTGAAAAACATCAAAAATAAAGAAAATCTCAAAACTCAAGATCTGTAAGAAATTTAAGAGCTGTAAGCTACTCTTACAATAATACTGTATATATCTCTGATTTCTCTACTGCTCTATATACAACATTAATATCATTTATCACAAGATTGACTGAAATGTCAATATAGAAATGTGTATCTGTATGTATAGAGAAATTGAAGAAGAGCACAGAACTCACAGAATCAGAAGTCAGAATAGAAAAGACAGAGATGAAAGAAACAGAAGAAGAAGAAGACACAGAACTGAATAAATGACAGTGAGAGTCACTCAGAGCTGAATACTTATAACTCAGTATGTGTACAATCTTTCTCACAGAGAAGAAAGAGAAAGTAATGAGAGAAGCTTAAGAGTGAAAGAGAGTAGTCTCAGCAGTGTTATCATCTTCAATTAAAATGATCTCTGACACTGAAGCAACTAAGAATCATTATTAGTATATGAAGATTACAAAATCAGAGATAAGAACAGTTACTGAACAAACACCTGCTGATCTTAGAGTTATACACATAATTACAACACATATGAGACTTCTCAGAAAGAGAGAGAGAGACACAGAGAAATACAGAAAGCAGAATACAGTATGTGAACAGCCTATTCTCACAATAACATTTCAGACAAGATATACAAGTCTTATACTCACAGATGTAAAAGAGTACAACATTCATATTTCTGTTTCTGAAAATATGAATATCTTTTGCCTGTATTATGAAGTCAGATAATAGATATTAGAGAATAGACTGATATGAATCTATTATTCTGAAGAAATTCATCAGAGTAGATATTCTCATAATATTGAACTTTACAGTTGTAAAAAGCTTCTTAATATCTGTGAATGCTATGACTTCATATACAGTAAAACTTATAATGATTTCTTCTAAGAACAGAAAAATCAGCATCAGAAAGAAAAGATGAAAAAGAAAAAGACTTACAATCTTAACACTGTTAAAGAGAGAAGTGATTCTCTGATATAAATAAATAATTACTTTATTATAAATATTTAAAATGAATATAATAATCAGTGTCTGTGACTGAGCTTCAGATAGTTATATTATACACAGTCTTTATACAATAAATAATAAATTATTCTGAGAGTCAGTAAGAAGGACAGAAGCATATATACTGAGAAACATAATTTATTAAGTCTATATAACATCTTCTTGAAACAGAGAGAGCTGATAACAAAAGCAGAGACAGTAAAACCAGAAGTAGCAGAAGTGAGAGTTGCGGGAACAGAGATAGCAGAAGCGGAAGAATCAGACACAGAGACAGATGTAGAAGATTAAGAGATAGCAGCAGAAGAGACAGAGAGAGACACAGAAGACCCGGCTATACATAACATGAACAATTTCTTCATTATCATGTTCTTCAGATTCTTGATCAATGATTCAATATTGAGTTCACTATTATCAGTGAATACAGATCTGTCAACATATGAAGATTCTATATGAATAAAAACAAATATATCAGCATCTGCATTCATGCAAAATCATGCTAGAAAACACAATCAGAAACCTGTTGAGAAGAAAACAGTTGAGAACATATAAGAAGATGAAGAAGATGTGTTATTTATAATAATATGTTCTGACAATTATTAGAAGATAAATAAGTTCAGTCATATTTCATAATGTGTTACACTTACTGCTAACAAACTGCCTGATATAAGCACTACAATGACACTTGTTATGAAAATAAGAGGCCATCATCAGAAATGCATACAATGTGATAGATAAACAGATAGAAGATGTGAATAGAAGAAGAAACAGTAATCTGAGATAAAATGATAATAATATTCAATGATGACAATGATGAAGAAGATGATTGAAGAATGAGAAAAGTTAGTGAATAAGTGATGTAATATAGTGAAAGTTTCTTTATAAGAGTGTACATAGAACACTAGCTACATCAGAGATAGATTATATAATTATAAATACTAGTGACATGCTAATCTGCATGAAGCTAGAGTGAATATTATAGTCACATGAGTGTAACTGAATCTGATGAGAGAGAATGTAATTCAGAAGAATATACAACTGTCAGATAATAACACAGCCGCTTCTGAACTTGCTTACAAGTGTAAAGAGGTCATAGCGGCTGCTAATTAATTTAGTGTATGATATATAAGAAGCCGGTGTACGTCTGTAATTATACACTGACTCAAGCAATCTTTGAATCACAATATTTCCTGAAATATATTAATATTGTAAAAGAGAGTGTTACTAAATTACATTATCAGATAATATTATTAAAAATATATTAATATTATGAATATTAATGTTGAAAAAATGTTGATACTTATACATTATAGTGATTTGTGAATCATGATAGTTAAATATATATAAATATATATATATTATTCCTGACTTGATTACAACTTGTATAATAATTTTTAAAAACTTAAAATTAATTTCAATTATTAATAATTATGAACT